CAGCTTGGTTTGAAGAAATCAACTGTGGGAGCAATTATTAGGAAATGGAAGACATACAAGACCACTGATAATCTCCCTCGATCTGGGGCTCCACGCAAGATCTCACCCCGTGGGGTCAAAATGATCACAAGAACGGTGAGCAAAAATCCCAGAACCACACGGGGGGACCTAGTGAATGACCTGCAGAGAGCTGGGACCAAAGTAACAAAGCCTACCATCAGTAACACACTACGCCGCCAGGGACTCAAATCCTGCAGTGCCAGACGTGTCCCCCTGCTTAAGCCAGTACATGTCCAGGCCCATCTGAAGTTTGCTAGAGTGCATTTGGATGATCCAGAAGAGGATTGGGAGAATGTCATATGGTCAGATGAAACCAAAATAGAACTTTTTGGTAAAAACTCAACTCGTCGTGTTTGGAGGACAAAGAATGCTGAGTTGCATCCAAAGAACACCATACCTACTGTGAAGCATGGGGGTGGAAACATCATGCTTTGGGGCTGTTTTTCTGCAAAGGGACCAGGACGACTGATCCGTGTAAAGGAAAGAATGAATGGGGCCATGTATCGTGAGATTTTGAGTGAAAACCTCCTTCCATCAGCAAGGGCATTGAAGATGAAACGTGGCTGGGTCTTTCAGCATGACAATGACCCCAAACACACCGCCCGGGCAACGAAGGAGTGGCTTCGTAAGAAGCATTTCAAGGTCCTGGAGTGGCCTAGCCAGTCTCCAGATCTCAACCCCATAGAAAATCTTTGGAGGGAGTTGAAAGTCCGTGTTGCCCAGCGACAGCCCCAAAACATCACTGCTCTAGAGGAGATCTGCATGGAGGAATGGGCCAAAATACCAGCAACAGTGTGTGAAAACCTTGTGAAGACTTACAGAAAACGTTTGACCTGTGTCATTGCCAACAAAGGGTATATAACAAAGTATTGAGAAACTTTTGTTATTGACCAAATACTTATTTTCCACCATAATTTGCAAATAAATTCATAAAAAATCCTACAATGTGATTTTCTGGATTTTTTTTCCTCATTTTGTCTGTCATAGTTGACGTGTACCTATGATGAAAATTACAGGCCTCTCTCATCTTTTTAAGTGGGAGAACTTGCACAATTGGTGGCTGACTAAATACTTTTTTTCCCCACTGTATATACTGAACAAAAAATATAAACACAACATGTAAAGTGTTGGTCCCAAGTGTTGCTGAGGAGTATTTCTGTCTGTAATAAAGCCCTTTTGTGGGAAAAACATTATTCTGATTGGCTGGGCCTAGCACCCCAGTGGGTGGACCTGGCTCCCAAGTGGGTGGGCTTATGCCCTCCCAGGCCCACCCATGGCTGCGCCCCTGCCCAGTCATGTGAAATCCATAGATGAGGGCCTAATTAATTTATTTCAATTGACAGATTTCCATCTATGAACTGTAACTCAGTAAAATCTTTGAAATTGTTTCATGTTGCATTTATATTTTTGTTCAGTATATTTCTGTACAGTAGAATGTTTTAAGATTGTCAGGTTTCTAGCTGAAGGCACCAGTTATAGCCTCTCACTCTGCCAGAAATTCTTACACACACACACACACACACACACACCACACCACACACACACAGGTCAGGGGTCAACATGCAGCTGGTCACGTTTGACTGTTGATCTTCTGAACCCCATGCATCACTAGACACATGTCCACACACGCACGCATGCACACACACACACACACAAACACACACATCATTATAATATACACACCAACACCAGAAAAGCCATGTTTCACTCTCATGGATAACATGTGACTAACATGTGATTAACATTTGTTTTGTAAGTCCAGAACTTCAAGCAGCTTAAAGCAGTTGGAAACACATTCCGAGTTGAGAGAGTGTGAAGTACCCACGCTGTCTCTATAACCCCAGCTGGCTGTAGTGCCTCAGATATCGCCATGGCAATCTGCTTGGTCAGATGCTCCTGGACTGGGGAGGGGAACAGGGCACATGCACAGAATGTTGGATATTTCTTACAGTAATGTTCCAAGGAAATATATGTATGTATATGTCCTTTGTACCATATGCACTATGTATGTGTATATATATTAGAGTATATGTGATATTTCATTATTTTTACAAATCTGTTAAAACATATATATTTTTTAAGTGTCATTATGGGGTATTGTGTGTAGATTGATGAGGGAAAAAACTATTTAATCAATTTTAGAATAAGGCTGTAACATAACAAAATGTGGAAAAAGTCAAGGGGTCTGAATACTTTCCGAATGCACTGTATATAGTTTGAAGAAGTTTGGAACCACCACCACTCTTCCTAGAGCTGGCTGCCCGGCCAAACTGAGCAATAGGGGGAGAAGGGCCTTGGTCAGCGAGAGAGAGAGAGAGAGAGAGAGAGATGTTGCAGCCAGCAGAGCGGGATGTGTTTCAAACACACAGAAGTATCTCATATTATCATCTATGTTGCCATGGCATTGGTCACCCTGGCAACATTTCTCACCCATAAATAAATATGACACACAAACACCAAGTCGAACACAAAACATGTAGAGAACTTCACCAAAAATAATGGAGAACCGTGCAGATTTACCATGTTACATCTATCCTTGAGTTGCAGCATTAGGCTATGTCATCCAAACAAGCTCTCTCTCTCTCTCGCTCATCTGACCCAGTTTGAACAGGTTCTATTTGGGGGGGGGGCTGGCTCAGCAGAGGTTGTGGCCATACGGTTGGCTGTCGGTGCTGATGGATAGCGTGTGGTGGGCATGGGTTATGTGGATGTGTAAGTTCCCTGACGGAGAGATGTTCTGTAACCTGGAGGCTTTGCTTGTCCAGCTGGGCCCTAAAAAAATGTCTGTTACCACAGGGTGACAACACTGATAACATACGACAGGTAGGTTTGTGTGTCTGTGTAAGAGAGAGAGAGAGAGAGAATGTGTGTGTGTGTGTCAGTGAGTGTGTGTGAGCATGAGTGTGAGTGTCAGAGAGTGCGAGCGAAATGGAGTGAGTGAGAAAGGGAGTGAGTGCGAAAGCGACTGTGTGTATATATTGTATGTGTGTGTGCTTATGTATAATCTGTGTGTGTGTGTAGGTGGTGCAGCGTGGTGGTGTATTGCTGTCAGACAGAAAGAGAACAGAGTTCAGTAGTAAAGACGTGACCCAGGACCTCAAACGACTGCTACGGACCAGGAAAGGCGAGGCCAATGCCTGCAGCATTCTACCTTAACTAGACACACACCAACGTATATTATGGTTGTTGTTCCTGCTGAGGTAGGTGCCTCGTGCCTATCGGTCTGGGATGCAGCATCTTGTTCAGCCAGAGTGCATTGCCATTAGTAGAGCTCTTTATATAACTTCACTGCTCACAGATAATCTGACCATTGTTGTCTGTGTGTGTTCCAGGACGCCATGTCGTGTCTGGCAGAAGCGGTTCGTTACTTGGAGATGCTGTCTGGCCAATCAAACTTCAGCTCCTTCAGCTTGACGACCCTTGACCTCAGCCAGTACATGAGGCAGGCTGCTGTACAGGCCCTCAACTTCTTCAAGGTTAGTGTGTGTGTGAGGCTGCACAACTTAGCCGTACAGCCCTCAACGGTGTCGGCATTGTCGACATAGTGAGTAAACATGGCAGTTCAGGGTAACGCCAAAGAGTGCGCCCTCTCTTCTGCTGCCACCTTCTGGCCTATACTGTTGTGTGTGTGTGTGTGTGTGTGTGTAGATTGGACCTGGTAGTGTGTCTAGAGAATGTAAAGTGAGGTCAGACAGACTCTTCAGGACGATCTGTTGCGGCAGTTCCCAGATCTCCACCGCTTGTCCAAGAAGTTTCACCGGTGCTCGGCAACACTGCAGGACTGTTACCGTGGTTACCAGGCCATGGGTCAGATCCCTGCCCTTCATAAACAATAAATCATTTTCACATGAAGTTCAAGTTACAAATAACAATGTTGGTGTGATTGTTAATGCATGCATAATTCATGATCAGACCGGAGTGTGAGAACATTTTATAGATGAAGCCCCGGATTCGCCTGGCTGACGCGAGAGAGAGAGCTGTGACACACTGGTCTGGACAGTGTGGCACAAAACTTGACTGGAGCTTTGATTGTTTTTTTTACCAAACAAATTAAAATCCAAAGGTTGTATTGCAGGGGAGGCTGGTGGGAGGAGCTTTAGGAGGACAGGCTCATTGTAATGGGTAGAATGGAATTAAATCAGTCGTTAAATCAGACACACCGCTGAGCTAATAAAGTTGCATTTTCTTACAAATGACCAGTTTCTGTATTTTATTTTTATTAAACCCTTTTTGAATTCATACTAGCATCTACATAATGGTTGTATTAATACTTCACAATATATTAAGTCTAGGGTTGTGTTCCCCTGCTCAGACGTTACTGATGCATACCAGATCTTACGCCTGGGAAGGTATTTTACATATCAACTAACCACATTATAGCAATCTGGTTCCCGACGGCACAGTCGATGACATGGCACGCAACGTCTGAGCAGGGGAACGGGACCTTGATGTTATGGTACACATGCATACGATCCAGGCTGCATGAGGAGCCACAGTCACCAGAATACAAAGAGAGAAAAAGAGGGGGGAGAGCAGGTTAAGGAAGAGAGAGGGGGAAGTAGGTAGGGAGGAGGCAGAGAGAATATGGGGAAAGGGACTGCAGAACGACTCGTCTGTCCCAGTTTGAAAAAGGCCTGATGCCTCTTATCGGACCCTCTCCAGAAACACTGACTGCATATGAACACAACCTTACACATGCACCCACAAAACAGCCTTCCAAACACACACACACAGATGCACGCACACACACACATTTTCCACCGGTCCTAGATCTACTAGCCTGGAGAGGGTCTTTAGTGTTAAACGTGATTCTCTTTCACAGAAAGAACAGATCCACTGGGACATTAACAGCTACTGCAGCAAGCCTGGGGCCAACAACAAAAATTAATAATAACAATAATTATAATATATAATAAAAAGACATTCAAATACAGTAAGATTTTTTGCTTGTAAATACAAAACTACATGAGAAAGCATTAAAATAATATCTGTTGATCAGAATAACATATTATAAAAGCTGAGGTGCTCGATCAAAGTCCCCCTCTTCCGTTAGCAGTACATACGTATATATCAGCCATCCACTGCCTAGTAACAGATGCCGCTGAACAGGAAGTGTTTTCTCAGTGGGCGGGGCTAAATCTCCTCTCTTACTGTTTTGGGAAGAAGTCCGATTCCCAGGATTGTGGAGAGTCGCAGAGTTGAAGGGTCACGGGCAAAGGAAGTCTCAATGGCCACTCCGACATTATCAGAGTACCCACACCCTACCCTCTCCACACTCCCTCTCCATCCTCTACCTGGCCATTTGCTGTCCAGAGATGCAATGGTGAGAACCTCATATGGCCGTTCAGAACGAGTCAGTTTCTCCTCACAGTAGACCAGGCTAATCCAGACCAGACCAGTCAAATTCAGACCAGCTCCATCGCTCCCTCTAGAAGAGACTCCCAAGTGCAGCACTGTCTCGGTCTCTCTCTGAATCTCAGGGTTCCTCTATGCCAGTCACTGCTGAGAACACCGTATTCAGTCTCTCTGGCTCCCTATGAGTGTGGTATGCTTTATGAATGTGTGTTATGTAGTGTATGTCTGTAGATTATAGGGTGTGTGTGTGTGTTTATGTAGTGTGTGTACATATAATGTGTGTGTGTGTTCAGTTGTGTTGAAGCGTGTTGGACTCTATGGGCGGGGCTGAGTCGTAAAGTGTGTCTGTGTCGTGTGTTGGCTCTCCAGCCAGAGTACAGGGGTTGGACAGAGTTCCCGCTCCACAGTCACAGAAAAACCTACACAGAGAGAGAGAGAGATGGTTAACACGGATTACAGGACAGGAGAGAGCGTGAGAGAAAGAAACGTCCAAAACATCATGAAAAAATATATAAGTGGTCATCCTGGTACTCTATAAAAGAATATTCTGGTCGAGAAATAGTGATGACACAGGCCTTCAATTCTTTTGAAACAAACACCACAAAAGGGACCATCTAGTCCAGGCATGGGCAACTCCAGTCCTCCGGGGCCTGATTGGTGTCACACTTTTCCTCCAGCCCAGTAGCCAACACACCTGATTAAACTAATTGCATTCTAAACTGAAGACCATGATTAGTTGATTATTGGAGTCAGGTGTGATAATAGGGGCTGGGGCAAAAGTGTGTCATCAATCAGGCCCCCGAGGACTGGAGTTGCCCATCCCTGATCTAGTCGGTCGGAAATGGTTGGTGCTACTCACCTATCATGCCGTATAAACTCCACGTCGTGTCCTTGGTGACACTTCTTGATGCAGTTCACACAGATGGCGTTCCGGTCTGTCGTATTGCAGGTGTGACACCTGGACACACATGGGTCAAAGAAAACATCAGCACTAGAGTAACTGCTGTGTAACTGTCACTAAAAGTCGTGCATGGGCTTGTGTCTGTGTGTGTACCTGTAGAAGTCGTGCATGGGCTTGTGTCTGTGTGTACCTGTAGAAGTCGTGCATGGGCTTGTGTCTGTGTGTACCTGTAGAAGTCGTGCATGGGCTTGTGTCTGTGTGTACCTGTAGAAGTCGTGCATGGGGTTGTGTCTGTGTGTACCTGTAGAAGTCGTGCATGGGGTTGTGTGTGTACCTGTAGAAGTCGTGCATGGGGTTGTGTGTGTACCTGTAGAAGTCGTGCATGGGGTTGTGTCTGTCTGTGTGTGTACCTGTAGAAGTCGTGCATGGGGTTGTGTCTGTCTGTGTGTGTACCTGTAGAAGTCGTGCATGGGGTAGGAGGTGTAGCTGGAGATCTTGTAGAGACACTGTCCTCTGCTCACAGCTTTCTCTATGGCATCCTGGTTATTCATTATCTTATTATCTGGAAGAGAGGCAGAACAGAGGATGAGAGCCTGTCCACTGGATAGACATTCCCAAAAGATCAAATATCCAGAGAAAGCAGTGACCAATAACCTATTTCTATACAGTCTAAGCCATCCATAGTCATTGCGCGTCTCACGGCAACTTAATTGGCGTCTCTGCAATAACCTGAATGAATGTGTTGTGCAAGTTATTTCCTAAGTCAGCTGAATGCGCTGCTTAATTAGTACATAGAACCATGGTTACGCCAGTAACCTTCGATATCCACTATTAGCGGCTGGGACAAACGGAGCAATAATATTCCTGCGAATTTGACTATAGCTTTTGAACAGTTGGAAGCTTTTAGCGAACATGACCCCATTCCTGAAAGCAAAGACTCTCAGGAACACATACGTGTCTTCTGTTTCCATCTACGACGCACACAAGCTGTGAAGGACTCGTTAGAACGTAGAGTGATGAATCTGCACAGAATGACTGGGGGAAATGAATTGATTAAAGCATATACTTCCTTCAGACTGAAATTTGACATTACCTCATTTAACAAATATCTTTGTGCTATAACTTTTGAGAGAATGGCAATAAGGCCAGATTCAAAAGACTCATCAAATAATTTAGTAACATTTGTTTCTAATAGCCCCAAGTGTCCTACAATGGAGAATGAAATAGCTTGTTGGTCCATGTTAATTAGTATCTTAAATATCATGTGTGAATCCATTTGATATCATGTACGAATTCATTTGAATTCGCGCCCCCCCCCCCAACCCCCTTTCTCCGATGGGTAACATATGGCGGCTCGCCCAGTGTGGTTGTTTTACAAGTGGATCCCTCAGAAATATAGTGACTACCACTGGTCTGGACTGCTAGCGCTACCTTACCCTAGCCTGTTAGAACTAGCTACCTTTCATGGTGACGTTGACCCCAGAGGCGAGGAACAGGCCTCCAAAACGGTTGTTGAAGATCTGGTTTCCCTCCAGAGTCGCCGTGGCGTGGTTGGTTATCTCGATACCTGAGACAGGAAATGACATCATCAACACAGGTAGCGGATGAGGAGTAGGTTACAGTATTGACCAGTCAGTACGGTAAAGTTCATGTAAACGTGTACACATGGGCAGCTGACCTGCAGCGAAGCCGTCAAAGATCCGGTTCTTGCGGAGCACCGGGTGGCTGTTGGTGCTGATCAGAACTCCTGCCTGGGCGTTCCTGAAGATATCGTTCTCCTCCAGGAGACCTCTCCCTCCGTTGAAGATACAGATGCCGCCATCTCTCCCGTCGTGGATCTTGTTGCGTCGCAGCGTGGGGTTGCTGTCTGTCTTAATCCACACGCCCGCCATGGCGTTGTCAAATATCTCATTGTCCTCGATGAAACCCAGACCGGAGTTGTAGACCAGGATGCCTCCATTTTGTCCTCCCCAGATCTTGTTGCGTCTGATCTTGGGGTTGCTGCCCGTCCTATAGACAACCAAGTGTTCGTAAAACCTTGATCTAACGTTAGTCAAATGTTATCATAACCAATACGTGTCCTGCATTTGACTGGCGTGTGAGGAGGCAGGACTTACCGTATTTGAACGCCGGAGTACATGTGATTGTAGATGTCGTTGTCTTCCAACACCCCATGACCGTTGTCATAGAAATACACCCCCACCTGAGAGGGGGAGAAACGGGGTTAAATCGGACTTAAAGAACGTATTATCTAGACACAATAATGAGACAGGCCTCCAATTCTCACAAATACATAAATCCCACTTTATTTCAATTTTTTTTTTTACAACAATAACGGTGAGAGAATGAGTGTGGACCGTGTGTTACCTGTTTGCCGCTGTGGATGCGGTTCCTGCGGAGGACAGGTGTGCTGCCGGTGGTCACCCAGACTCCAGCCAGCGTGTTGCTGTACACCTCATTCTCCTCTATCACACCCTGGCCTTTCTCATGCTACAAACACACACACACACGATTAGATATCCAAGCATCTTATATGACAAACAAAAAAAAAATGCGGATTTGTATGCGTTTGTTTACCACGTAGATGCCGCCGTGCTGTCCGTCGTGGATCTTGTTATGGCGTACAATCGGGCAGCTGTTGGTTCGGATTTGGATTCCTGCCAGAGCGTTGCCATGGATATCGTTCCCCTCGATCAAGCCACGCCCATCGCCAAATATGTACACGCCCCCTTGGTTACCGTTAAAGATTGCATTGCCCCTAGAGACAGAAAGAACGTCAACAAACAGCCCATAATACTGAGAGGGATTAGTGTCTATCATTTCATAGAGTAGTTTTGTGTGTGTGTGTCTGTGCTGCATCGTAGGGTTACTATGCGTGTCTATGTGTAACAGTATTGTAGGGTGTGTGTGTGTGTACCGTATTGTAGGGTCGCTGTTGGAGGTGATCCAAACTCCAGCGAAGTTGTTGGCGTAGATCTTGTTTTCTATGAACTGTCCTCTTCCTTTCTCATGCACATAAATGCCCCCCGTCTGGCCATGGTGGATCTCACAGCGAACCACTGTGGGGTTAGCATACGCCTTCACCTCAAAGCCTGCTATACGATTCCTGTGGATGTTGCAACTCTCAAAATAACCCTGAGGGGGGAGAGAGAGAGATATTGTCATCATTGCCATGCATAGCACAACTGTAAAGATCTGGAAAATGGTGGGTGAGAGGTAAGAGGTTATAGGTTAAAGGTCAGAGTGAGTTACCATGCCGTGGTCGAAGGTGAAGACTCCTACATCTCGGCCGTGGTGGATGTGGTTTCGTCTGATGATGGGGTTGCCATGGTTTTTTACCCAGATTCCCGCCAATGCATTATTACTGATCTCATTATCCTCATAGATACCCTGCAATACATTATCACATCATTATCCTCATAGATACCATGCAATTATCACAGTTATCCTAGTAGATACCCTGCAATACATTGTCACATCATTATACCACAGCATTGTTGAATACTCGTTTCTGATTGGCCAGAATGGCATTCTAGAATGGGCATCAAAACCAGAAAACCGGACAGTTGGAAAATATAGAACTGTAAAGAAACATATAGAACTGTAAAGAAACAAACTTTTCGCTACATCCGCAATAACATCTGCTAAACATGTGTATGTGACAAATAACATTTGATTTGATATATCGGGACACCTTGCAATCATGACGCGATATGCGCCTACAGATGCAAACCGTACTTGCTACAAAGTTACAGAAAGCTAAACCAACAACCACACAAACCGGAATTAGACACATTGTAAATGCAGGTCCAACGATTAAAAACTTAGCTAACTAGCAATGTGTTTTTGCAAAGACATACTTTTTTTTTTGGAGCATCCGATGATCTAACGTGGTGCGTGATGAACATGAATTTCTCCGGCCCCTAATGTTGCAGTCATGATGCAAGTGGCGCTATGCTGTCAAATCCTCCTACATATTTCTAGTTTGACCAGCTGTTTTCAGCATCTGATACTTTTTTATTCAGTTGTCATATTGGCAGGTTTGCTAGCAACAAACTATTTAGCTAGCTTCTAGCGTAGTGTTTGATATGTGATCTCCTTGTAATGAACAGTCGATGAGTGTCCTGACGAGAAGGCACTATGCCAGGCAAAAACTGGCATCATCAGCTCATTGTTATGGATGTATCCAAATGAATGTCAATAGAAAACAGTTGAAACAAATTCAAATACTTTGCTGTTATTCTGGCTGCAGAGGCCATGACTGTGTTAGCCGTAGCTAGTTGGCTAGCTAGCAAGCAAGTGATAAGAACGTTGCCAGCGAGCATGGCAAAGGAACATAAAGAATGAACGACTGGGTAGCGTCCATAAATATCGAATGAAAGACTGGGTCGCAACGAAAAGATGAGAAAGTATGAATTCACTTATAATATCAACGAATATATTTCATTTCTACCGGTAAACGTGTGCTTTAATATTGTTTTCTTTGGCAACTGTGGTATATGCGGGATAAATGCCTCTGATCCGCACATTACCTTGGAAAACTGAACTACGCAAACGGACTCGACTCTGCCTCGTCCCACTGCGTGGTCCATTATTTCCAAGGTAATGAACAGAACGTGGGCGTTTATCCCTTACTTATCCTCATAGATACCCTGCAATACATCATTACACCATTATCCTCATAGATACCATGCAGGAATATACAGTCAGAGAGGGTGTTTAAGAGTGGTTAGTGGTGTGTATATGGTTGGTGATGTAAGTGTGTGTTTACCTGTGCATGGTCGGTGATGTAAAGTCCAACATTCTCACAGTCGCTGATGTTGCAGTGTTTGATGGTAGGACACGCCCCCTGGCCGCTCACACACACAGCCGAGCCCACTGGAGTAGAGACAAACTACATGACCCAACATGCCCCACTGGAGACAAACTACATGACCCAACATGCCCCACTGGAGACAAACTACTTGACCCAACATGCCCCACCGGAAACAAACTACATTACCCAACATGCCCCACTGGAGACAAACTACATTATCTAACATGTTCCACAGGCGAAACAAACAAGCCCTACTGCGGACTGTGTGCACGTTACCTGTGCAGGTAGATCTGATGATACAGTGGTCTATGTTGGGAGAACAGTTGACAGTGATCTCCAGACAGTGGTGGGCGTTGTGGTGCTGAGCTGCCTTATCATCTGGGTTAAACTGAAGATGAAACAACAGGTTAGAGGGGAGATGTGGGGAGTGTGTGTGTGAGAATTGGATCTGTGTTATCAGTGTACCCTGATGGTCATGTATCCCACGTAGGCGTCCTCCGATCCCTCCATGAAGACAAACGTTGAGTCTCTGGTGTTCTCAATCACCACCTTATCAGACACCTTACCAGGAGCTACATACACAAATAAAGTCAGGTTCTACCATTAGATAATACAGACAGAGGTAGAAAGAGCAAGACCGACAGATAGACAGGCAGACCACACACAGTACCTGCTCCAATCATGGTGATGGGGGACTCTATGTAGATCCACTCGTCAGTGTAAATCCCAGAATGGACGAAGATCAGCCCGTCAAAATGAGCCTCTTGCACCCCTCCTAATGCATCTTCTATGGTGTCATAGTACTGGAGACACAGAAACATGTTTATGTCAAATCAAGCTAAAACGGAGCTGGTTTGCAGCCGTATTGAAAATGTGTTTTCAATGGACCATGAGTATAAGTACACTACCGTTCAAAAGTTTGGGGTCACTTAGAAATGTCCTTGTTTTAGAAAGAAAAGCAAATTTTTTGTCCATTAAAATAACATCAAATTGGTTGATCCTACCAGGTGGCGTGGCGAGAATCTGTCTCCGCACCACATGCTCTCACTACTGGTGTCCCCCAGGGCTCAGTTCTAGGCCCTTTCCTATTCTCTCAATACACCAAGTCACTTGGCTCTGTCTTATCCTCACATGGTCTCTCCTATCATTGCTACGCAGACGACACACAATTAATCTTCTCCTTTCCCCCTTCTGATAACCAGGTGGCGAATCGCATCTCTGCATGTCTGGCAGACATATCAGTGTGGATGTCGGATCACCACCTCAAGCTGAACCTCGGCAAGACGGAGCTGCTCTTCCTCCCGGGGAAGGACTGCCCGCTCCATGATCTCGCCATCACGGTTGACAACTCTGCTGTGTCCTCCTCCCAGAGTGCAAAGAACCTTGGCGTGACCCTGGACAACACCCTGTCGTTCTCCGCTAACGTCAAAGCGGTGACCCGATCCTGTAGGTTCATGCTCTACAACATTCGCAGAGTACGACCCTATCTTACACAAGAAGCGGCACAGGTCCTAATCCAGGCACTTGTCATCTACCGTCTGGATTACTGCAACTCGCTGTTGGCTGGGCTCCCTGCCTGTGCCATTTAACCCCTACAACTCATTCAGCCTTCCCAAGTTCTCTCACGTTACCCCGCTCCTCCGCAAACTCCACTGGCTTCCAGTTGAAGCTCGCATCTGCTACAAGACCATGGTGCTTGCCTACGGAGCTGTGAGGGGAACGGCACCTCCTTACCTTCAGGCTCTGATCAGTCCCTACACCCAAACGAGGGTATTGCGTTCTTCCACCTCTGGCCTGCTGGTCCCCCTACCTCTGCGGAAGCACAGTTCCCGCTCAGACCAGTCAAAACTGTTCGCTGCTCTGGCACCCCAATGGTGGAACAAGCTCCCTCACGATGCCAGGACAGCGGAGTCACTGACCACCTTCCGGAGACACTTGAAACCCTACCTGGGATAGTATAAAAGTAATCCTTCACAGTAGGTATGGTGTTCTTTGGATGCAACTCAGCATTCTTTGTCCTCCAAACACGACGAGTTTAGTTTTTACCAAAAAGTTATATTTTGGTTTCATCTGACCATATGACATTCTCCCAATCCTCTTCTGGATCATCCAAATGCACTCTAGCAAACTTCAGACGGGCCTGGACATGTACTGGCTTAAGCAGGGGGACACGTCTGGCACTGCACGATTTGAGTCCCTGGCGGCGTAGTGTGTTACTGATGGTAGGCTTTGTTACTTTGGTCCCAGCTCTCTGCAGGTCATTCACTAGGTCCCACCGTGTGGTTCTGGAATTTTTGCTCACCGTTCTTGTGATCATTTTGACCCCACGGGGTGAGATCTTGCGTGGAGCCCCAGATCGAGGAAGATTATCAGTGGTCTTGTATGTCTTCCATTTCCTAATAATTGCTCCCACAGTTGATTTCTTCAAACCAAGCTGCTTACCTATTGCAGATTCAGTCTTCCCAGCCTGGTGCAGGTCTACAATTTTGTTTCTGGTGTCCTTTGACAGCTCTTTGGTCTTGGCCATAGTGGAGTTTGGAGTGTGACTGTTTGAGGTTGTGGACAGGTGTCTTTTATACTGATAACAAGTTCAAACAGGTGCCATTAATACAGGTAACGAGTGGAGGACAGAGGAGCCTCTTAAAGAAGAAGTTACAGGTCTGTGAGAGCCAGAAATCTTGCTTGTTTGTAGGTGACCAAATACTTATTTTCCACCATAATTTGCAAATAAATTCATTAAAAATCCTACAATGTGATTTTCTGGATTTTCTTTTCTCAATTTGTCTGTCATAGTTGACGTGTACCTATGATGAAAATTACAGGCCTCTCTCATCTTTTTAAGTGGGAGAACTTGCACAATTGGTGGCTGACTAAATACTTTTTTTCCCCACTGTATATATATATATAAAACAAATGAAAATGTACAAAAATACTCTAAAAATTTAAAATTAGAAAGATATTTTAAAAAAATCATTGTAAAGTGGTTGTCCCACTGGCTATCATAAGGTGAATGCACCAATTTGTAAGTCGCTCTGGATAAGAGTGTCTGCTAAATGACGTAAATGTAAATCAGAAATACAGCGTAGACATTGTTAATGTTGTAAATGGCTATTGTAGCAGGAAACTACTTATTTTTAATGGAATATCTACATAGGCATACAGAGGCCCATTATCAGCAACCATCAGTCCTGTGTTCCAATGGCACGTTGTGTTTGCTAATCCAAGTTTATCATTTTAAAAGGCAAATTGATCTTTAGAAAACCCTTTTGAAATTATGTTAAAGCCATATCTCAGACTGCCCATCTTAATCTTTTATTTTGATTGGCCAGTCTGAGATATGTTTTTTTCTTTGCAACTCTGCCTAGAAGGTCAGCATCTCGGAGTCGCCTCTTCACTGTTGACGTTGAGACCGGTGTTATGCGGGTACTATTTAATGAAGCTGCCAGTTGAGGACCTGTGAGGCGCCTGTTTCTCAAACTAGACACTAATGTATTTGTCCTTGCTCAGTTGTGCACCGGGGCCTCCCACTCCTCTTTCTATTCTGGTTAGAGACAGTTTGCACTGTTCTGTGAAGGGAGTAGTACACAGTGTTGTATAAGATCTTCAGTTTCTTGGCAATTTCTCCATGGAATAGCCTTCATTTCTCAGAACAAGAATAGACTGATGAGTTTCAGAAGTAAGTTATTTGTTTCTGGCCATTTTGATCCTGTAATCGAACCCCACAATTGCTGATGCTCCAGATACTCAACTAGTCTAAGAAGGCCAGTTTTATTGCTTTTTAAATCAGCACAACAGTTTTTAGTTGTGCTAACATAATTGCAAAGGGTTTTCTAATGATCAATTAGCCTTTTAAAATGATAAACTTGGATTAGCAAACACAACGTGCCATTGGAACACAGGACTGATGGCTGCTGATAATGGGCCTCTGTACGCCTATGTAGATATTCCATTAAACATCAGCCGTTTCCAGCTACAATAGCCATTTAACATTAACAATGTCTACACTGTATTTCTGATCAATTTGATGTTATTTTAATGGACAAAAAATTTGCTTTTCTTTTGAAAACAAGGACATTTCTAAGTGACCCCAAACTTTTGAACGGTAGTGTATGTGTGTGTGTCAGTGTATGTGTGTGTGTGTGTCTTACCAGCATATTCTCCCTGCCTTTGAACCTCCCAGGGTTGCTGTAGAAATGTTCAGCAAAGCCTGGCTTCACATGGGCTCCTTTATACTGCAAGACAATTTTACAACAAATGTTAAAATAACATTAACACAATGTTTGTCTAACCACCCACACCAGTGTAGTACATAGAGTAGCCAGCCAAACAGAACAAGTTGCCAGCCAGGTGCCTCCAGGCCATTGAGATTTTTTTTTTGCAGAAGCAGCTCTATTCTGGTGCCCTCGGGTACAATCTAATGCCTTGATTCCATCTAAAATACAGCGAAATTGTGAATACTTTACCGAATTTACCTCCCAGATTGGAAAAATGTATTGTGGTATTGTGTAGAAAGACATGACTTTACAATTGAAATTACTTAAAAAGTATGAATTCAGTGTATTTTTAGTTGTTTTGGATATCGTCTAGGTCTAGGCCTATATGAGCAGGACTATTTTCTAAGAAAGAGAACATTCAACCTTTTTTAAATGTTAACATTTAACCTGTCTTCTCTTGAGATTAGTCATATTTACAGTTTGACGGCAAGATATGAATTGCCACAATGTTTGTTCTTCAAATTATGTATTTTATTCAACAACAAAAAAATGAAGTACAGTATACAGCCCACATTATTTTGAAAAATGTATTAAAGGTTTTGTTTTTCCATTTCCCCCCATTTCTTTCAGGTTTCCGCATTCAAAAATCACATTTTTAATAATTTATAGAAAAACAACAAAATTGGATGTTCTAAGTCCACAACAATGCTTAAACCACATCAGGAGACCACTTTTGAGGACTGAGAAAAGTCTAAGATATTTTAATTTTGGGGTGTAGTCACCCTTTAATTCAAGTGAGTGCCTAGCGATAGGCTGTTAGCCGTGTTTTTGTACCGCACATATGATGGTAGAGTTTGCAAAACAAATACCCAATGGATTGATGAAAATAATCATGATATCATTCTGCCAGGTAAACATAGGCTACATGTAGTTAACATTTAATTGAGAAGCAGGGCTTGACATTAACTTTTTTAGCCACTCCGTTAGATTCATTCATTGTTTGTTCATGAAATAGCACAGCAGGAGAAATCTAGCACGCATTAAACTGAAAGAGTGGCTTAATAGGCCAAGTCACAATCATATCAAATGGAGAGAAAATAGAACATTTGGGCTTCTATAACAATAAGACACCGGCCCAGATCATCCTACATTCGGTAATTGTTTGATAGTGATTTGTGTAAGTTTTTTTTTTTACTTGAATGAACAACTTAAATCTATATTCTGGTTGTCCGACATTTTTTTTTTTTTTACTTGCCTCAGACAAGCCTTAATATCAAGCCATGAGAAGGTTTTTAGGAAAGCCTTTCCATCTACTAGAAGACGGTTTTCATTAGCATCATCGTTAACAGCTACACACACAGGAGCATTCTCGTTGCCCATTCAGAAAGCTGCAGGAAATACGAATAACTGATGCATTCTGTTCATGTCTTATGATAAACTTGGGCAAATTAATTCATTTTCAATACATTTTGTTGATTCCCTCCTAAGGTCAACACCGTGAGGACCCTAATGATCATATTTGGACCAGAATGAGGATGTTCATGCAGTGATGATTTACCATCTTCCTCTGTTTTCATAATTTATCTCCAGATAATCGCCAAAAAGCCCAGGCCTACCAGTAATCTATGCAAATTAGGGAGACAAATGAACGTCTCTCTCACCGATTGCGATTCAGTAGGTTACACGGACTGACAAGAGTCACTCACTTTAGCATCACTGTCTGACAAGCCCCGTCATCACAGGAAAGTAAACCTAGGAAATCCTTTGGTTTACTTGTCCCGATGCGATACCATGGACCTATAACCACGTTGCATGATTTATGAATGGCAAAGGGATATAGGAGATCTACTTTATTCAATCAGTCCGACACCTTTTATAAACTAGTCAAAACTTGCTGTTCAATTGTCAATCAAAGCACAGTAAATAGCTCACTATCCGACCACGACTGCGTGTGGCTGGCTATATGAAACATACAAAAGAAAATAAATGAATGTGCCAGAAAACAATAATTAGACTAAGTCGTGGATTTCGATTCATCGTTACCACTTACATTACATGAGACGAGCAAATTCTCTCCCTCCCCCGTGTATAGAAATTCGACTGCAACCAAACACAGCACACACAAATTGTACCGGGAGGTGGGACAGACAGCAGACTGCGTGTCCCTGTCATCGCCACTGAGGTATGGGTCATCGCTCACTTTGTGACTGACAAGTGCCTATCCTAGATCGCTAGAAGATGCATATTGTTCATTCTAGCGGACAAGTGCTCGACGGACTAGCAAATCGAAACTTTAAATGAAAAGTAACCTAGTTAATATGAAGTGAAAAAAGTAGCAGGCTGAAAATGATTCTGTAACCAGCTAATTAGCCGACTTCTGGCGCTAATGGAAAACACTGATACACACTGCCTACCCACCAGTTGTTGGAAGCTGTCCTTCCAGGGGTTGGGGTGGTCGTGTTCCTCGGGGCTGACCTGGTAGAACTTGCCTGGCTCAGGGTGCATCATGGGACGTGTGTACTCAAACACCTCCATGTACAGACGCTTCCTGGACACACACAGAAAAGGCAAAGGTCAACGCCAGGCATAGAGGGATGCAGAAAGTAACAGCCTTCATATCAGTATGGACCAATAATGGTCGATACTGACTGATTTTATGGGTGACATATCAGTTAACTATTACGCTAACTATAAGGGGCAAGAAAATATAGGTTATGTGTGTTTGTTTTCCTTCAGTATAGGGTCACAGTCCACTGAAGATTGTGTACCAGAGTATAGGGTCGTTGGCTAGCTCGCTGAAGCGTTTGCAGACGCAGGCAGTCTGACAGAGGTCTTGCTCCAGGAGATATGAGAAAATCTTCAGAACCACCTCATCTGGAAGCTTCTGCTGCAGGTACTGCTCTGCTGGGGCCGCTGCATGCACACACACACACACAGGCAGAGTTTCCATTAGTATTAATAGATAATACATACAAATGTAGAAAAAGCCATACAGGCACATCACATCATTGACTTGTACACCTAGACACACATTCTTACCTGGCAGGTCGTGGCTCTTGCCAGAGACCCTGGCTCGTTTGGCTCGATGACCGAAGGGTTCTGTTGTCGAGGTGGATGCTCCCTGTGTCAGAACAACACACATCAGCAACACACATCAGCAACACACACACACACACACACACACACAGCTACCTCCCCCAATGACTGAGACACTAACGTACACACACATTCTGTCTCTCTCACACTCACTTTCTTACACCTACACTGTCCTCTACCTTTCTCCCGAAATGTACACTGGTGCTAGTGGGAGTTTACACTATGTTCCATAAATAATATATCAGAATAAAATAATATATGCCATTTAGCAGACACTTTTATCCAAAGCGACTTACAGTAATGCTTGTATACATTTTACGTATGGGTGGCCCCGGGAATTAAACCCACAACACTGGTGGTGCAAGCACCATGCTCTACCAACTGAGCCATGCAGGACCACAAACCAGTCCTTTCCTTTTAAACCAATTAAGGGAAGTGAACAAGCACAGAATGGTGCTCTCTCTCTGTCTGACCTCCATAGCGGTCTTGCTGGGGCAGGAGGCTGCCGTACTGGAGGCTGTTCTCTTGGGCATTAGAGACTTGCGTCGGAGCTGGTAGGGGTTGTTCCCAGCTGCAGGCCCAGACTCCTCCACAGCCACCTCCGCTGCTGCAGCTGGAGCCTCCTCATCTGCTGGACACACAGAGGACACAGTCAGAACACAGTCTGACACATATAGGCTGCGTTTACACAGGCAGCCTAATGCTGATATTTTTTCCCACTAATTGGTCTTTTGACCAATCATGTCAGATCTTTTCCATAGCTGATCTGATTGGTCGAAACACCAATTAGTTTAAAAAGATCAGAATTGTGCTGCCTGTGTAAACAACACAAACACACACACATATTCTCCATCAGCACAGTTCAACAAACACACCGGTAGTCAGATGCCATTTAAACCACACCATCCACCCACACAGTCTAATCTCTACTGTACTGCAGTTGGCAAGGGAGTACAGGGCTGATTAAAAAACGAAGGTATTAGTAATGACAGCTGATCAGTGTCATTCTATTCGGCCTTTTTTTAAAACGCTTTTAGGCCATTCACAGACTGGGTGGTGTCATGTATGTGTTTGATTGACTGTGTATAATATTTGACAGGGGCAGGCTATTGTATTACAGGGCTGTGTGGGTGACAGATTATGGTTGGTGATTGATAACTGCAGATGGGTCCCTGCGGTTTGACTACCAGAATAGGGCCCGACGGAGCCCCATAATGGCCTTCCCTAGCTGGCCACCGGCCTCTGTCCGGTCACACTGCGATAACAAAGCCACAGCCCGAATAAGCCCTGAACAGTTGACCTGCAGGTAACCGGGCCGCAGGCTGGCCGGGGCGACCAGACCTGCACCTTTGAGTCAAAACTCAACTACGTAGGTAGCTAGTAAATCCGCCATGTAAACAAACACACAGCTAACGTTAGCTAGCCAACGTTAGCGCTCAGTCAGACATAACAGGTTAGCTTAACTAGTTAAATAGTTAGGTAGCTATCTTGCTAAATGAAATGGCTCATGAATGTGAGCCATGCAGTTAACTAGCTGGTTGACTGCTTAACAAGAAAATGTACTTGTCTAAATTGCGGCTGATCCTTCATCGCTAACGTAGACATTCATAGCTAGTCGTTAGCGAGCTAAAGTAGTTACCTAGTTACTGGAGTATGGGTAGCACACCCCAAAAATGTAAGTCCAAAATGTAACGCAGATTAATTTAGTCAGAAACGGCTGATAGGTTACGTTACCTAGCTAGCAACGTTACTGCCATGCCCATGAACATTCACGATCTGGCAAAGTCAGTGGGTTCACCATGGTCCACGTCATGGATGGCTGCATAGTTATATGGGCTAGTTAGCTAGTCAACGTTAGCTAACTACGCAGCAGGCAAAACATTAACGCTACCCCCCCCAGTCCCACTGGTAGCCACAGTCACTCTAGCCAAACAAAGCGCGGCCTGTGCCACTGAGCTAAAAGCCTCGGCTTTGCCTAAATAACACCCTCGCGCCAGGCAGCTGAGGCTCGGGTCACAGTGGAACCTGGCCCCTCTGACACGACTACAGCCCTACAGTGCTCTGGCTGGTGGCCCCTCTCACCTCCGTCCCCCTCGTTCCGGTCGGGCTGCACCGGGCGCGGCCTTGAGACTCGCCTGGGTCTCCGGTTGGTGGCTCTGACGGAGTTCATTTTTTGGAGAGTCTGTTGTTAAAATACAGAACGTTCCTCGACCGTCCGCTTCACGCTTTAACACCAGGCCTCGACTACAACCCGGTGAGCCTCTCTCGCTCTCAAACCACCCAGCGCGCTAACTACCTACCCGGGGTGTAGTTACTGTTTTTCGGACTGCTCGCCCCTGTACAGCTCGCTACCAGCTCCGTATCTAGCAGGAGGAGCCATTAACTCACACAGGGACAGTCGGAAAACACTGGAGGATGTCTGCCACCAATCACACCCTGGACTCACAGCGACCTCCTGTGGCCAAGGATACACAGGTCCTCTTGAGAACACTGCCCTCGTGTAGTTGGGAGTGCAGGCTTTTGCTCCAACCCTACACAACATACCTGAATAGGTCAAGGTCCTCGGAAGCATTTGCTCAGCTGAATCAAGTGTGATAAAGCAGGGCAGGATCAAATCCTGCGGGAAGGGAGGGGAGGGGAGTCCCCCACGACTAGGGTTGGGGATCTCTGCTTTGCATAGCCACAGGGCGTTTTTGGTTAGGATAACCTCACAACAAAGGCAGTGGGCCAGAACCAACCTTATGGATATAACCCAGGATAGGCTACAGGATAGTAGAGTAGGCACACTGGTCAGTCAAAGCAATGGTCAGGACCATATTATTGATATAATTGAGGACAAAACCAGCGACCTCTAGTCTGGTAATGTAGCACTGTGTGTGTACTACTTCCAAGCTCAAGGTCCTGTTTTTATGGCATTCACTTGCACAGATGTAGCGTGATAATGGATAAGCGGCTAATGTACTGCATACTAAAACTAGTCGCCTGGTTGTGAATCTGATCACTAGGGGACGGTCTAGAAATACAGTGGCTTGCGAAAGTATTCACCCCCCTTGGCATTTTTCCTATTTTGTTACCTTACAATCTGGAATTAAAATTGATTTTTGGGGGGTTTGTATCATTTGATTTACACAACATGCCTACCACTTTGAAGATGCAAAATATTTTTTATTGTGAAACAAACAAGAAATAAGATTAAAAAAACAGAAAACTTGAGTGTGCATAACTATTCACCCCCCCAAAGTCAATACTTTGTAGAGCCACCTTTTGCAGCAATTACAGCTGCAAGTCTCTTGGAGTATGTCTCTATAAGCTTGGCACATGTAGCCACTGGGATTTCTGCCCATTCTTCAAGGCAAAACTGCTCCAGCTCCTTCAAGTTGGATGGGTTCGGCTGGTGTACAGCAATCTTTAAGTAATACCACAGATTCTCAATTGGATTGAGGTCTGGGCTTTGACTAGGACATTTAAATGTTTCCCCTTAAACATTTTATTTTAGTAATTTAGCAGACGCTCTTATCCAGAGCGACTTACAGGAGCAATTAGGGTTAAGTGCCTTGCTCAAGGGCATGTCGACAGCTCTTAACCACTAAGCTACCTGCCGCCCCACTCGAGTGTTGCTTTAGCAGTATGCTTAGGGTCATTGTCCTGCTGGAAGGTGAACCTCCGTCCCAGTCTCAAATCTCTGGAAGACAAACAGTTTTCCCTCAAGAATTTCCCTATATTTAACGCCATCCATCATTCCTTCAATTCTGACTAGTTTCCCAGTCCCTGCCGATGGAAAAACATCCCCACAGCATGATGCTGCCACCACCATGCTTCACTGTGGGAATGGTGTTCTCGGGGTGATGAGAGGTGTTGGGTTTGCGCCAGACATTTTCCTTGATGGCCAAAAAGCTACATTTTAGTCTCATCTGACCAGAGTACCTTCTTCCATATGTTTGGGGAGTCTCCCACATGCCTTCTGGCGAACACCAAACGTGTTTGCTTATTTTTTTCTTTAAGCAATGGCTTTTTTCTGGCCACTCTTCCGTAAAGCCCAGCTCTGTGGAGTGTACTGCTTAAAGTGGTCCTATGGACAGATACTCCAATCTCCGCTGTGGAGCTTTGTAGCTCCTTCAGGGTTATCTTTGGTCTCTTTGTTGCCTCTCTGATTAATACCCTCCTTGTCTGGTCCGTGAGTTTTGGTGGGCGGCCCTCTCTTGGCAGGTTTGTTGTGGTGCCATATTCTTTCCATTTTTTAATAATGGATTTAATGGTGCTCCATGGGATGTTCAAAGTTTAGGATATTTTTTTATAACCCAACCCTGATCTGTACTTCTCCACAACTTTGTCCCTGACCTGTTTGGAGAGCTCCTTGGTCTTCATGATGCCGCTTGCTTGGTGGTGCCCCTTGCTTAGTGGTGTTGCAGACTCTGGGGCCTTTCAGAACAGGTGTAAATATACTGAGATCATGTGACAGATCATGTGACACTTAGATTGCACACAGGTGGACTTTATTTAAGTAATTATTTGACTTCTGAAGGTAATTGGTTGCACCAGATCTTATTTAGGGGCTTCATAGCAAAGGGGGCCCCTGACTTTGAGAAGCTCAGACGCGACATGCATCGAGCACACCCATCTCATTAGTGGTGGTGAGATAAGATACATTATGTCAGACTAATTTGCAATTGACTGTCATAGCCCCACATTAAAAGTACAGTACCAGTCAAAGTTTAGACACACCTACTCATTCAAGGGTTTTTCTTTATTTTTAACATTTCTACATTGTAGATTAATAGTGAAGACATCAAAACGATGAAATAACACAAATGGAATCATGTAGTAACCAAAACAGTGTTAAACAAATCAAAATATATTTTATTTGAGATTCTTCAAATAGCCACCCTTTGCCTTGATGACAGCTTTGCACACTCTTGGCATTCTCTCAACCAGCTTCACCTAGAATGTTTTTCCAACAATCTTGAAGGAGTTCCCACATATGCTGAGCACTTGTTGGCTGCTTTTCCTTCACTCTGCTGTCCGACTCATCCCAAGCCATCTCAAATGGGTTGAGGTCGGGGGATTGTGGAGGCCAGGTCATCTGATGCAGCACTCCATCATTCTCCTTCTTGGTAAAATATTCCTTACACAGCCTGGAGGTGTGTTGGGTCATTGTCCTGTTGAAAAACAAATGATAGTCCCACTAAGCCCAAACCAGATGAGATGGCGTAACGCTGCAGAATGCTGTGGTAGCCATGCTTGTTAAGTATGCCTTGAATTCTAAATAAATCACAGACAGTGTCACCAGCAAAGCACCCCCACACCATAACACCTCCTCCTCCATGCTTTATGGTGGGAACTACACATGCGGAGATCATCCGTTCACCCACATCGCGTCTCACAAAGAAACGGCGGTTTGAACCACAATTCTCAAATTTGGACTCCAGCCAAAGGACACATTTCCACCGGTCTAATGTCCATTGCTCGTGTTTCTTGGCCTAAGCAGGTCTCTTCTTCTTATTGGTGTCCTTTAGTAGTGGTTTCTTTGCAGCAATTCGACCATGAAGGCCTGATTCACACAGTCCCCTCTGAACAGTTTATGTTGATATGTGTCTGTGACTTGAACTCTGTGAAGCATTTATTTGGGCTGCAATTTCAGAGGCTGGTAACTCTAATGAACTTATCCTCTGCAGCAGAGGTAACTCTGGGTCTTCCATTCCTGTGGCGGTCCTCATGAGAGCCAGTTTCATCATAGCGCTTGATGACTTTTGCGACTGCACTTGAAGAAACTTTTGAAGTTCTTGAAATGTTCTGTATTGACTGACCTTCATGTCTTAATGTAATGATGGACTGTCATTTCTCTTTGCTTATTTTAGCTGTTCTTGACATAATACGGACTTGGTCTTTTACCAAATAGGGCTATCTTCTGTATACCCCCCCTACCTTGTCACAACACAACTTATTGTCTCAAACGCATTAAGAAGGAAATAAATTCCACAAATTAACTTTTAAGAAGGCACACCTGTTAATTGAAATGCATTCCAGGTGACTACCTCATGAAGCTGGTTGAGAGAATGCCAAGAGTGTGCAAAGCTGTCATCAAGGCAAAGGGTGGCTATATAAAATATATTTTCATTTGTTTAACACTTTTTTGATTACTACATGATTCCACATAGGTTATTTCATAGTGGTGATGTCTTCACTATTATTCTACAATGTAAAAAAAATAGTAAAAATAAAGAAAAACCCTTGAATGATTAGGTGTGTCCAAACTTTTGACTGGTAGTGTATATGATGGTGAGTTGGGAATACAATCAGAAATACTGTTTTGCAATTGACTGCCATAGCCCCAATTAAAAAAGTTTAATGAGGTAATGGATGAGAGAGATGGAGAGAGAGAGAGAGAGAGAGAGAAAGAGAGAGAGAGAGAGAGAGAGAGAGAGAGAGAGCAGAGAGAGAGATGAGAGAGGAGGAGAGGAGGAGGAGAGGAGAGAGAGAGAGAGAGAGAGGAGAGAGAGAGAAGAGAGAGAGAGCGAGAGAGAGGCAGGGAGAGAGAGAGAAAGAGAAAGAGAGAGCGAGGCAGGGAGAGAGAGAAAGAGAGAGCGAGAGCGAAAGTGAGAGAAAGGGAGAGAGAGAAATGAAAGGGTCCACAGTGTTGAGAGCAGAACTGCACTGTCAACCTTCACCATAAGGGGGTGGAAAAGAGAGAGAGAGAAGGAATGAGAGATGGAGATGGGAGAGAGATGGGCAGGCAAAGTAGTGATTGAGTGAGAATAATAATACACTGCTCAAAAAAATAAAGGGAACACTTAAACAACACAATGTAACTCCAAGTCAATCACACTTCTGTGAAATCAAACTGTCCACTTAGGAAGCAACACTGATTGACAATAAATGTCACATGCTGTTGTGCAAATGGAATAGACAACAGGTGGAAATTATAGGCAATTAGCAAAACACCCCCAATAAAGGACTGGTTTTGCAGGTGGTGACCACAGACCACTTCTCAGTTCCTATGCTTCCTGGCTGATGTTTTGGTCACTTTTGAATGCTGGCGGTGCTTTCACTCTAGTGGTAGCATGAGACGGAGTCTACAACCCACACAAGTGGCTCAGTTAGTGCAGCTCATCCAGGATGGCACATCAATGCGAGCTGTGGCAAGAAGGTTTGCTGTGTCTGTCAGCGTAGTGT